TATCACACAGCTATAATCATTTATACATATTTTAAAAACGAACTTTTATTAAAGTAATTATTGTGTACCGGGGTGGGGGAAAATAAATAACTTTCGCTTTATCTCATTCGATGGGAACAAACTACTGCCGAAATCCAAAATGCGCCAAAGTTAGTGTTCTTGGGAGTATAAAGAAATCAATGCATCTGATCTTGGAAAGCTTTCTTATTTATTGGAGTTCAGATTTAGCGACACCTTTTTAAGCGTACATGAATGCTCGATTTGATATTAATTTGAAATAGCGCTAATTTTTTTAGAGTTTTTCAGCGCCGAATTCGGATTGGTATTACACCTCAGTTTTAATACACGGTTAGAATTTTGATTCTGAAATTACGGTAAAATTGCCGGCAGCAGTTTTTCCATCCAATTAACCGCAAATTTTAAGGTAAAGAACATTTTTTACCTTTACTGTTTTTAAACCGTTTACAACTAATATAGTTATAAAACCATGAAAACAACATTTTACGGTTTTTCAACCATTTCGAACTAACATGGTTTCAAAATCGAAAAAAAAGAAGAAATTTCGCTGGACAATTTCGTTACGTAATGGGCATTGGTGAGTGAAGGATACTGAAAGCTCTTCATGTGTTGAAGGGAATGTTGCGGTGTCAGCTCTGTGATTCGAAACCCAGTTCTTGCGATCATGAGACTGACAGATTAGCCGCCCTTTTCGCTATAATACGTGTACTGTAGTAAAGAACTAAGTGGTTTCATTATGTGGGTTTAATTAGTGCGAAAAAATTCTTGTTTTCTAACCATAGATATTTAACCGTATATGTCCCGTTAATAAACGGGTTGTCTCACAGTTAACAGTTTGATTACCATCTTATTTAAGGTTATTATTTGACTGCTTTGTTGGAATATAGTAAAATAACAATTAAATAAATTATTATTTAACCATTTTTTTCCTAGAAATTTCTAGCACAGTATACTAGCTTTAAATGTATTTATATGCAGTGTATATGTGTGAGACTGTTATGGTACTGAACTAAATATGTATATAGTTACTATAGCACCCTAAAGTGTGAATAGAAGGGACGTAGCACTATATAATTTGCATAGTATCATGTATCTCGAATTCAATGAATTTTTCAGATGTATAGTAAACATCTGAACCATTAATATAAGATCAATCACACAAGTTTACATTCTCGCAAATTATCAAGAATTTGTTTTGCTAATTCTATTTTTTAGGTATAAATAAATAAAAGCGATTTTAAAAAGTTCTTTTCATTTGCAAAAATAGAATGCGTGAAGAATTAAATATGAAGCATTTCTTAATTTTTTATTTGCAAGCTTCTAACTAGGCAGTTCTGCAATCTCTGACAGTTAGTTTAAAATGCTTAATATATTGTTAAAAGAAAATTCTTCTAAGGTTATCCCCTACTTTTTTTTCGAATGCTTTATGAACCTTCTTAGGTTGGGTCTTTATGAACCTTCTTCTAAGGAAAATAGTAATAATAAAAAGAAAGTTAAAGATCGACCCTTAGTACTTTCCCCCTAACAGAGAGGTTAGCGAAATAATTTAAATTAACGTTGAACAGATAAAAAAAGACTAAAATATGAGATTTCCCCCGAGGTACCTTATTTTTCTTAAAAGCCTTACTAAACCTTGTTCCAATTAGTTCTTTAGTTTCTTACATGGCGTAAAGGAAAAATTTTATTACATGACCTTCGGACTAAAAAAAAAAAGATATAAATTTAAAGTATGGCAACTGAATATTTCATTCAAAAGTCAAATTAAAATAACTTTCATCCCCTCGAAAAGGATTTTAAAGGAAGTTTGTAAGAAATTAATATCTTTTTTTTACATCAAATAGTTCCATGACAGATTCAGTATTGTAAATAATTAATGACAACTAAAAGCATCTGTTGGCGATAAATCAAAGAGCAACTTAAAAAGTTTCTTTTCTTCGAAGCATTAAAGTGTTGCAGGCTAATTTCGTAAAAAAATACTTTTATCCTTAGACTCTTCGTTCGAAAATAATGGTTCCGCAATGTTAAAACACGTAATACATTCAAAGTTTATGCATACATATTCAATTTTTAATGATATATAAGCCTGCTTTTCCATCATTATTCTTAGAAAATCAACAACTGGAACAAAAAAAAACTAATTTATTCAAGATCCTCAGTTTCTGTTAATACTAGAAGTTAATTTATGTGCTTAAATTATTGTTAAAACCTCATTCCTTGTTTTTATATTATCCTATTTTTTTTAAATTTTATTCACATTTTACACAGTTGTATCTCTCATTAATGGAGCCAAATATTTGCTTCTGCATAAGCAACTACGGATAGTGGTAAGAATAATAAAATATTTTTCCTGCAAACTTTTTCGATGTATATTAATCTTAATATTCCGATATATTTTAATATAAATTTATAGCAACAAGGTTTTGAGCTGAAAAATTGAAACGTAAAGTTTTAAGTATGTTTTTTTAGTATCAACTAATTAATTGTTCATAAAAAAATAAAATAATTAACAGTAAAAAAATTTCCAAATTTATTCTTTCTAATATTATTTTAACTGTAAAGTGGTTTCCTCATTTTGGTGATTAGATATACTAATTTTTTTGCAGTTTAACCAATGAATATTACTTTTATTTATCTCTATCTACATAAGCTTCAATATTATAGACCCTATTATTGATTTGTTAGTATTTTTTTACAAATTATTTCTCTTTTATTTAAGTGTAAAAAATGAGTCACTAAAGATATTTTACTTCTTTTACTTACTTTTTTAAAAATGTTGTAAAAAATTTTTCTATAAAGAGTTATTTATAGAACATTCTTCATACAAAAGTGTTAACGTGATAAATAACACTTGAAATACCCTATTTCTTGGTTTTAGTTTGTAGTATTTGTGGATCATGCTCTATACAAAAGTACTAAAGTGATTATAGTGACTTTTGAAGTACATGTTTTGTAAGTTGTAGTTCGTAGTATTTGTGGATCATTCTGTATACAAAAGTACTAACGTGATTATTGACACTGGAAGTAACGTTTTTGTAAGTTGTTGCTTTATTTGTGAATTATTCTTTATACAAGAAATACTAACGTCACTAGTGACACTTGAAGTACCCGTTTTGTAAGTTGTAGTTTGAAGTATTTGTAAATCTTTCTGTATACAAAAGTACTAACGTGATTATTGACACTGGAAGTATGTTTTTGTTAGTTGTAGCTTTATTTGTGAATCATTCTGTATACAAAAATTCTAATGCGATTAGTGACACTTGAAGTACCAATTTTGTAGGTTTTAGTTTGTAGTATTTGCGGATCACTCTGTATACAAAAGTACTAACTTGATTACTGACACTGAAAGTAATGTTTTTGTAAGTTGTTGCTTTATTTGTGAATCATTCTTTACACTAGAAATAATAACGTCATTAGTGACACTTGAAGTACCAATTATGTAGGTTTTAGTTTGTAGTATTTGCGAATAATTTTGTAAACAAAAGTACTAACTTGATTACTGACACTAGAAGTAATGTTTTTGTAAGTTGTAGCTTTATTTGTGAGTCATTCTGTATACAAAAGTACTAACGGGATTAGTGAAATTTCAAGTACCTTTTTTGTAAGTTCTATTTTGTAGTATATTTGGAACATTTTGTGTTTAAAAATTTTAATGTATTTGGTGAAGCTTGAAGTGCCCTTTTTATAATTTTCAATTTCTAGTTTTAAGTACTTATTAAGGTATAATTGGAACACCCTGCATACAGAATTATTGACGTGATTAGCAAGTCACACTTGAATTAAAATTTTAGTAAGTTCTAGTTTATCTTAGGGATTGGTGTAAGTATTGTCCCTTACCCTGTCTTTACTGAGTAGTTGCTTGACGACGACAGTGTCTGCTAGTAAGAGAACCCTGGTGACTGACGAAAGTAAAGCTCTTGCAGCTCTAGCTAAATGATGCTTGTCAGCATAAGGTCTCAGTTGTCCTCCGTCGTCATGCTGCACTTCACACAGGTGCTCGATCATAGAACCTAACATCACAATGAACAATGTAGGAATGGTCATTAATAGTACTAATTATTCTAAGTTACATAAAGAAGTGCATTACAATCATCAAAAAAAAAACTTGCAATAGCAATGAAATCATATCATGTTTTATTAAAAACGTAAGAACGCAAATCCATCATGGGATGCACCAAGTTGAATGGTGTCATGAAATACCTAAAAATACCCTAATGGAAGTTGTAAAAATTCAAATATATAAATTTTAAATTTATTTTTTTCAAAGACATAGTTGTAAAATCATAATAAAGTATTTGTCTGTAACTATACCAAGTTTAACAGCGTCGTAAAGTACCTTGCATTATTATAATCGAGGTATTTAAAATTCAAATATATGCATTTCAAATTTTATTTTTTTTAAAGACATAGTTTAAAATTATAATAAAGTATTTGTCTGTTACTATACCAAGTTTAACAGCGTCATAAAGTACCTTGCATTATTATAATCGAGGTATTTAAAATTCAAATATATGCATTTCAAAATTTATTTTTTTTAAAGACATAGTTGTAAAATTATAATAAAGTATTTGTCTGTTACTATACCAAGTTTAATAGCGTCGTAAAGTACCTTACATTTTCATAATCTAGGTATTTAAAATTCAAATATATACATTTTACATTTATTTTCTTTAAAGACATAGTTGTAAAATATCGTAAAGTACCTTGCATTTTTATAATCGAGGTATTTAAAATTCAAATATATGCATTTCAAATTTTATTTTTCTTAAAGATATCGTTGTAAAATTATGATAAAGTAAATGCCTGTTAAAGGTCTTAAAAAAGTTGATCTAAAATAAAAGTGTTATGTTTTCATTTTTAATTTTTTTTAATCCAATTTAAAATAGAACAGTACATTTCTCTTTGTAAAAAACTATTACAAACCATGAAAGTAAAGGTTTTTCAAACCTATGAAATTTCGAGACATGTTTTTAGTAATTATTATCAAATGAGTATAAAAGAATTTAAAAAAATCCTTCCTAGTATACTTTAAAAAGACATTTATGCACTTTTTAAAAAAAAATAATTATGTTTATGTTAAACAGCATGGTAAATCATATTTTTTAAAACACTCTTATATAAAAACTGTCATAATAAATAAAAAACGAAAATCCAAAACATGTTTACTGATTTGCTAAAAATTTTCAACTGCTGACATTTGCACACTTATACAAATATCACACGTAAGCAATACGAAGCAAATAAGCTCATACAAATGTCGAGAATGTCGAATGGGTATACCAATAACATAAAAAAAAACTTATCAAATAAACTAATACTTTATGTTTTACATATTTTAAACCATATTATTTTTATCAGTTAATTGTTTTTCAAAACATAAGATTTGTTTCTGATGCAATCTGTTTGTCACTATGCAAATAAACAAAATTGTAAAGACCCACTTAAATTCTTTTCATTTTTATTTATATAAAACTCGAACTGTTCTTAGCAGCTGTCACTTTTAAGAACAACTGTATTAAAGTATCTTTATTCTATTTTTAAAGATTTGTTCAATTAAATTTAAGAACTCGAACACAAAAAGATATGACGTCACGACAGATGCCGTTGAATTTTTCAAAATGCCACAGTTATTATTTACTAAAGGGCCTAAAAACTGAACCTGGCGAAATTGAAAAACCCGTTTGGAAAGAGAAAGGAAGTGGTGAAAGAAAACATAACTGAGCAACTATAGAAATTTTAAAAATATCTATCAATTTAAAAAATATTCTATTATTAGTATAAATTGCCCCGTTGTCACTAGCAATAAGTACTGAGTTTAAACTGACTAAATTAGAATACAAGAAAATGTGGTTAAAGGAAAAATTAAAGACAATATGTAGTTCAAGTTTAAAATTATTGAGTAAATTATTTAATTCAAATAATACTTGAAAAACTTACAAATTTTTCAGAAATGTTTTTTTTAAAAATTTAATTGGGATATCGTTAGACCAAATAAATTTAAGATAAGTCTTAGCTTAAATTATAAATCATGAAATCACCTCAATAGGAAGCTTTTAATAGAAAATTGGCGAGAATAGCGCTGCAAATTTAAGACGTATGAAGGTTGTGAGGTTTCAAAATGCTTCGTTTTTTAAAATGTTTCCTTTTTTAAATTTTTTTCCCAAAAAGTTTCATTAAATTAAAAAAGAAACCTTGTTCAACTAATTAAATATAATAGTCTTTCTAAATTTGATCAAGTACACTGATAAAATAAGTATGGTGGAAAACTACCCGTACCTACCATGATGTAACATAGTAGTTATAAGTGCAAAAACGATAAATTAAATCAATATTAAAACCAGACATTAAGTAACATCTACAACTAAAACATCAATATAAAATCAATGATTAGTTTTAAAAGTGCATTGAGAGCTAATATTCATAATTAAGATATGAATCTAAGAGAAAACAAAGCTCCTACGAAAACAAATTTAAAGAACTTTTAGCAAGATTTACGCTTATTTCCCATTTATTTTCCTAATATTTTACATTCCGAGAGTCGAATTGTTCTATTTTAAGTAACATTCCAATGAATTTTGGCTGCCTTAGGGATTTCTTTAATGTTTCCCTCCACAATTATTTCAAAAATTAATGTCTGTCTTAAGAAGAATTCCATTTTGAAAAGGAAAACTGTTCCTAGATTTTAGCAATTTCAAAAGAGAGACATTATTTGTTGCATATATAATTAACTTGGAGGGAATATTTTGCAAGAAACGTCGAAGTAATTATGATTTCTGTTAATGTCTTGCCGTAAATCACAATAACTTTGTTTCCTTAGATGTAAATTCAACACATCTTTTGGTAAGACTCACGGTAATTAAGCTATTGTTCTCTTTGTATCTTTATCATCTTATATTTGTATCCAATGATAAATAAAATTTTGTAAAGGGATGTTTTTCAGAGATTTTTTTCCTCCATTGAAAATAAATAAATAGATAAAAGAAATTTGAGTGTCTTGAAATCAAAGAAAGTTTTAATTTCAAACTGGATATATTATACCCTCTAATAAACCTCAAGGTTAGATTACTATCAGTAATAGACAAAAAGTGTTACAGCCATTGAGCGTAAAAATTATTTTATGTTCGTAAATGCTATCATAACAACAAAAATACAGGTCTAATCGCAAATTTTCTTAGTGTACAGCCACACTGACAGTATATTAACTTTATGTTCATAAAAGTTGTATTCAATTTGGGTCTTTGTTTCAGATTCAGGTGATTTGCTCGCGAATCACGGATAACCGCATACGCGGGGGAAATAATGTAGTGCTGCCATCTGTTGAGGATCGAGAGAATTGCGTGTTCGTTTCGCATAGTCATCAGAGTAGAAGAATTGTGAAAAAGAAATTCTTTGACAGTGGACGGGATAGAACCTAGAAACTTTGAGTCCGCATCCCTGTATTGTAGCTACTATGGAATAAGGCGTACCATACACGAATTCACATTTGCAGTTTTAAATAAAAATTATATAAATTAGAGTTTATTAACAAATTCGTTGCAATTTCGAAAGTTGGTTTTTTTCTCACAGAAGAAGATAGGTAGTTTTTTTCACAGATATTTCCTACAGCGTCTCACGAAATAGGGACACACACCTGAAATATTTTTTTTTAAAAAAAAGTTATAAAATTCATAAAAATATGCATCATTCAATTGGTGACAGTTTTTCACCGAGATGTAAATAATGTACTTTTGCATATTTTATAACCCTAAGCAAACCAACGAAAAAGTGACTTTTCAAAAATTAAAAAAATTTCATTCAAGTTTTTATTTTTTTTACTAAGCTAAGATTCTTCTTTATGTTAGCATTCTGCAATATATTTTTTTTACTAAATTTAAATTTTCCTAATCCTTATATGCTAGCAGAATTTATATATTCTTTAAACTGAATTTTCCTATTTTCTTAATCACCGTATCTTAACAGGATATTTCCTATTTTCTAAAGCATAGTGTCCTAACAGAACATTTCCTATTTTCTTGTTCCTATTATCCTAACAGAATTTGCATATTTTCTTCATTATGCTACCTTAAGAGAATTCACATCTTTATATGAGCATTTATATTTATAATCACAAAAAACTTATTTTGTATTAATTAAGTAATTTTAAAATCGAATGAATATAAGAATAAAATCAATTGAATAAAATTGAATGAATAAAACATGAATATCGTATAAAAAGAATGCTTAATTTTTTACATGCATATTTGTATTTTTATTGCCTCATAACATACAACATGCTCACAGATGAACATGGTTGATTAGTAGGTCTTTTATTATGTAATTTAGTTATTTATAAATCGTAGCTCTCAAAATCATTTAATTTTTTTAAAGTTTTAACGAATATTTTAAGCAGAGATTTTGTTATTACTTTACTACACTGAAAATATTAGCAAATATATAATAAAAAGTCTTATATCATTTACTTATTATGAATTATAAATGATTATATTTTTACCAAAATTAAATTTATGTAATGTCTAAAAAAATTACAGTTCATGCATAGTTGTAAATAGGATTTGAAAAAGTCAATATATTAAATATAAAGTTACATTCCAACTTTAGGCAGATTTTTTTATTAATATTTTAAGCCATGGAAGAATATATAGATCAAAAGAATGCGAAACCAATTCTTCCTATTAGATTAATGACTTTTTGCTCTTAGGGAGACGCTCCATTTCCTAGAAGGAAGGAATTGGCGAATACAATCAAAGAAAAAAGAGTGTTGGCGACATCTGAAACGACAGTTTGTAGAGACTGTTTAAGATACACTTAGAAGAATGATAGCCAAAAACGAAATGCATTGAGATTTATGACAATAAGATTATATTCCGAATGGGAAGCTCAGTTGGCAACAAGTGCATTTTTCAACTGGCGCCAACCCAAAACAATGCTGCCAAAGTAGAACGCAGTTTAGCTTTGAGATTTAATATCTATATTTACTCAAGACACGAATCGGTTTGGATGGAATAAAGTTTACAAGGCAAATAACTTAATGGGTGCAATGAATT